GGCCGGGCGCGTGGGAATGTGCCGGGGCGAGCGGCTCGCGGGGCCGGAGGATCATTCAAGAGCTTTGCAGACAGGCCGGGAGGGGGGGCAGGCGAGGGGGCGACTGAGCGTGCCGCGCTAGGGATCATCGCCCAATTCCCCGCTTCGCTCCCTCGCAGTGGCCGCGGCGGCGGCTCGCCTGAGGCCAGCTTTGAATGCGAAAAGGGGGGCCGAGGTGTTTGACGTTTGCCCTGCACGAGGCGCTGGGCTGGGCTGGCTGCGGCTGCTGCATGCGGCTTGGCGGGGGCTTGCGGCCAGGGCCTGGGTGAGAATTGAGGCCAAGCCCTAACTGAGAGATTAAAAAAAAGCCCAGGTCCATTTAAAGTTGCTGTCGGAGCGCTGCTCTCATTGGTTAGGGGAGAGCTGGAAGAGCAGGGACACACACAGTGCGTGCAGCCTTCACTGCTGCTAGAGGAGCTGCTGCTGCTGGAGTTGTCTCTGTTGCTTTCCCTTGCTGCAGCAGCATAAACGTGACTTCCAACATTTTTATTTATCTTCTCTTTTCCACCCCTTCCCTTTTGCAAGATGTAACTACAGCTCAGACACTAAGGACCTACAGATCGTGGAGGTGGCTTGGGAAAGAGAAAGGGGGATTTCAAGGGCGTCGTTTTTGTGTTAGGGAGAAAATTTCCATTATGAGTGTTTCTCTAAAGTGATTTTTTTTTTGTTTGCTTCGCATTCGTCTCTGGTTTTCCCCATTCCCCATATATCGGATTTATGGCAAGGAAAATCACATTGTGAGGAAAGAAAGTCGGATTACAAGATACTACTACAAACAAAAACTGGATTTTTGGGGGTATTTGAACAAAAAAATTGTTTCGGCTTTACTTCATGAAGCAAGTGTCCCCTTTTGCAATCAGAATTTGGATACCAGAATGAGTAAAGAAAGACCCAAGAGGAATATAATTCAAAAGAAATACGTAAGTGGTCATAACATATATCATTTGACTCCCAGTTTTAGGAAATGGCAGTGAATGTCAAGTTTATAGCTAATCTCGCAGCTATAAAGGTTTGGAACAAATGTTTAGTAATGCTGATTTTTATTGTGCTCAAGTGTGGGGGAGTTTTTTTTTAAACCCTTTTAAATGGCAAAACCTGCTGACCAGTTTAGCTATAAAGCCAGATTTGTGTAGCGATACCTCAAGTGAATAAATGTATTGACCTCAAATGACACAATCATAATCTAGTTTTAGATGAAAGGCTGGGGCGGGGGGAGGGAGAGACACTGCTGCGATGTTACTAAACTCTATTTTCAAATGGATTTATTAATAATGCACTTTACATGCAAAATAATATTTTATAGATGTATATTTATAGTTCTGTTTAGTGAGGACACTATGGTTGTTGAAAGCCCTTTAAGTTGAAATCGAATGTCTGGTTATGGCGAGCTTGTTTCTTGCACTACCACATCAAATGTAATATGTGATCGTTTGCTTATCTGACTTGCAATAGAAACCAAACCAGTTGGGGGTCATCTTACAGGGAATGTGTTTCTTCTTAGGATTGACTCTAATAATGGGGAAATGGCTTGGTTTAGTTTAAAAATGCATGATGGTGTCTCGAAATGCTGGAAGAATATGGTATAGTTCAGGCTGTACACCTACCTCTGTTCTTATTCAACTGCTTGTAACCAGATCCTTGTAATAGTCTAATCCTTTAAATATATACATTTGCAAGGATAGTTGGGTTTTGGTCCTGCTTCAGCTATGTTTTGATTGGCATAGGGGCGTCTTTAAGTTTGGAAAAACTGAGGGGATTCGTCAGATATGCTGCAGAACTAATTATTTTTATCTGCGCGTTTAAAAATAAAATATATTTCACTTTGTTCAGAAAATGCTTCAAGATATATTAGATGCAACACTCAAAAGTTGTATTATATATGTATTATATCTGGCTTTTTTCCGTGGGGGGCATATAGATGTATTTCCTTAGGGTGATGACCTTCGGGACCCTTTGCCTTGTTTTTAAATAGATTTAATAAAAGATAAAATAAGGCTTAAGAATCCTGTTTCTGTTGATGCTTGTCTCTTTAAAATATAATTTAGAGAAACGAGAGGCTAGGAAAATATTAAAAACGTAAAGGGTATTCTGCACCGAATTTACGAATTAAAAATACATCCGCATTGCAGAGGAATTGGGAGTCTGAAGCGGACTAGTTTAAAGTATTGTATCGAAACAGGAACATTGTCTAGAAAGTCTAACGAAACATGTAAGACGTGCACGTTTACCAGGCAGTGAAACAAAGCGGAATGGGGGACGCATTTGCTGTGTTTAATTAATAAAGTAACCTATTATTTTTAAAGCGACTCCACGTCTGGACGAGTGAACAATGGTACCTTCCTCTGGTTTTGCCTATAGTGCTCGTTAAAGAATTAATAAAACTACTGTCACCCCTCCCCCCTCTAACCCGAGAGGAAAGGTATGAGAGACACATGTGAGCGTGGTAGGAAGACAATGTATCCTGTGTTCACAAGTGTAACTCAGTGGAATGGAGGGAAATCGCTTTTTTTGGGGGGGGGGAGGAGTGCAGCTTTCTGTGCTCCTCAGTGTGTGTGGGGGGGGGGTCTTTTTCCCATGCATCCTTTAGAACTGCGGCAACAGGTTAAGCGGAATGTCAGAACAAGCCCCCGGGTTCCCGGCCACTCAGCCCAGTCGGGGCCAGGTTCTTGTTGTTCTTGTGACGTCACAAAGGGAAGGGCCTGGGCTCAGTGGAATCTTCGTCTCATCGATGTTGTGATTTCCCCTCCCCCTCCTGTGACGTCAAAAGTGATCCCATGCATCCTTTAGAACTGCGGCAACAGGTTAAGCGGAATGTCAGAACAAGCCCCCGGGTTCCCGGCCACTCAGCCCAGTCGGGGCCAGGTTCTTGTTGTTCTTGTGACGTCACAAAGGGAAGGGCCTGGGCTCAGTGGAATCTTCGTCTCATCGATGTTGTGATTTCCCCTCCCCCTCCTGTGACGTCAAAAGTGAGGCGGGCCGTTTGGCTGGGGGAAAGGGGGAGTCACCAGGGCACTAGCTGCTGCTACTGGGGAGGATACAGTTCTGGCACCTAGCACTGTTTTCTCCAGGTGAGCAGGTGTACCAAGCATGGTGTACACAGCAACTTCTCTCCAATCCTTCTTCCTCTCCCCCATCCTATTAAGTGGAGTCTAAGCCTATTTAATTTGGTTCAGAGCAGGGAGCTAATCACCTCATCTTTGGGTAGGAGGCATATTTCCCTGATGCCCTTTAAGAAGAAATGGTTAGTCATTCTGCTTTTCCTGCATGGTATAACTTGATATGGAAAGGTAGAGGCACTCCTGTGTGTGTTGGTGACACAGGGTTGATGTTGTACCCACAGACCGTGGCACCTTTCTTTTTTTTTCTGATGTATTGCAGTCTCACAGTAAAGCATCCTTTAACATGCAAAAGTGTGCACCCACTCAAGTCTTTTTTGTCAGCATGTTTCAGATTCAGGCACAATCACTCACACCCCACATTTCAACCACAACTTTCAGAATGGGCCTCCTGCTCCTAGCCTCTCGTAAAGGTAGTTTTGCCTTTGTGCAAACTATTTTTTTCCCCATTAGCTAATTTCTTCATTTTCACGTAGTTTGGCTACCTGAACTTCCTGCCTCAGAGGGATGCAGTTTTATTGCATGCACAATTTTTCAAGCATTTCACAAATTGTAAGTCTGATCCACAATCCAGATGCTTTGGAGGTTTTTCTATTTTAGTGGAACTGGAAAATTTGTGTGTTGTACCTTAATAGGCGCTCATCAGTCACTACGCATTTTGCTGTGCTAAGCAATCTCCTGATCTCGCTCTATAGAAAAGCT